GGGCATGAGAAATAAGAACTTACTGTCTTTATTTTTATGTCACATGGTATGCTTGGAACTTTTTCCATGAATTGTCATATATGGCATGTGGCATGTAGTCAGTATTAGGATAGTTGGAGTTATCCATTTTACAGAGAACTGAGCTATTATTTGATTATATAACATCAGCCACAAAGCTAGTGAACAGTAAGTCTACTAAGCTTGGCTCCAAAGCCCATCATAACAATAAATGTCCTCCTACTTTGTATTGGTAATAAAGTTCTTTGGGTGCAGTGTACAATATTACTCCCATCTTTAGTATTAAATGCCATTTTATAGATAACATAAATGTGTTAAATATTATGCTTTCACTTATGGTGTAGACATTTAGTTTGCTGAAATAACAGTCCTAGATATAGTTCTTCAGCATAATATAAAATAGTTGAGACAAGTTGAGGACATGCCTAGATTCTTATGATTTAGGTTGCCTAATGTGGTATGCTTAAGGTGCAAAATTACAGCCTTGTCTTTATTTATTTATTTTTTTTTTTGAGACAGGGTTTCACTGTGTAGTTAAGACTGCCTGGACTTCACTACATAGCCCAGGCTGGTCTTGAACTCAAGGCAATCCTCCTGCCTCAGCCTCCTGAGTGCTGGGATTACAGGTGTGCGCCACTATGCCTGGCCAGCCTTGTCTTTTTTTTTATAAAGCTAGATCTCATTGCTAAAGAACTAATCAGTCCAGGGTACTGGTTTTTAATTATTTTTCAGCAAGTATCTCTTTTTGCATGTCACAAAATAACTTTGATGCCTTTTTTTATTTATTGAGAGATTAACCCACAAAAATAGAAGCTACATTTATGGTGGAATAATCTTAAATTTAATAATGTTTTTTATTTTAGCACTTTTCCAGCCATTAACTCCTGGCTCTAGAGAATTCGAAGATGTTTTACATATTCTCCGTTCATCTTACCTTGACCCATCCTCAGAGACAAATTTTCACTACAAACGTGCGTGCTTGATACATAATGAGCTTTTGGAAAAGGAGGTATGTTTTAAGTTTAAGTTTAAGATTCTTTTCAGAGCCAATTAACCTGAAGAAAAAAATCCTTTTCTCAAAAAATCAGTTTTTAAGGAAGCCTAAATTATGGAAGGGTAAACATGTTTTAAATAGTATCTGCACATTTTTCCTTAAATATTGTTGCTGTGGGCTGGGGATTTAGCTCAGTGGTGCCACCACCTGCCTTGTATGCAGAAGGTCCCGAGTTAGATTCCTGGTACCCCCCCAAAAAAAATACTGTTGTACAGTGCATTTATCTGCCATGTTAAATTTTTCTTTTTTCTTTTTTTTCACTGGGGATCAAATTTGGGTTCTTATACTTTCGAGGCAGGTGGTGGAACCACTGAGCTAAATCCCTGGCCCTTAAATTCTTAATAGTGAGTGATTATGCAATTTCCTGACATTGAGTCTTACTTGTAGGGGTAGCTTACTTCATCATGGTTTAATTATAAATCCATAAAGCTTTTTGCTCTTTGTGAGTACATGTTAAGTGTCTAAATCGGGATAAAAATTCTTTTCAAAGGATGCAACTTTTTCCTGAAATTGCTTGGGCTAGATTATCTTGGTTATCTTATTAGTGGGAATTCTTAGGGGAACAGTTGAGCATACTAGTGAATTTAGGATTCATGTACAAATTTGATATTTGAGTTTCAATTTAGGAAAAGCTAACATATTCTGAAGTAATATAAATGAGATGTTTAGACATTTAATTTTTTTTTGGTTTTTTTTTTTTTTTTTTTTTTTTTTTTTTTGAGACAGGGTTTCACTGTATAGTCTAGGCTGGCCTTGAACTTTCCAGTGATCCTCTTGCCTAAGCCTCCCTAGTGCTGGAAGAGTGCTGAGACCACAGGCATGCCATCACACCTGGCAATTGTTTTTTTTTTTTTTCTTTCTGTCTTTCCTTCTTTCTCTTCCTTGCATCTTCTCTCTCCCTCTCCCTCTTCTCTCCTTCCTACCACCTCTGCTTTCTCCCTCTTTTCACCCCTCCCATCCCCCTTTAGTACTGTGGAATGAACTTTTTAGACCCAGGATGTACTAAGTAAGGTACATTCTTAGCTTCTTTTTTAAAAATTTTTGAGTCACTATTTTGCTAAGTAGTTATGTTGCTTAGGCTGGGCTCAAATTGCTGTCTTTCTGGAACCTGGGATTTATTTAGCTCAGTGGTTCTGCCACCTGCTTCCCCAAGTGCAAGGTTATGCGTTTGATCCTCGGTGCCAAAAAAAAAAAAAAAAAACCCAAACAAATTGCTGTCCTTCTGCCTCAGCTTCCCAAAGTGCTGGTAGGCATGCACACCATACCTGGTATTAACGTATATACCTCTAGTGGTTGTGAAATGTAGTACTGATTGATGAAGTGTTAACAAAGTTTACATTTGAAAGACTCCTAGAGGGTATTAATGTTTTATAACGCCTAGAGAAAATGAAAACTTGGGAAGTTTGATGTGGTTTCTTGTATGATTGTTAATTTCAGGTAAAAACTTAGTTTGAAAGTATATTAATTACATTATTAAAGAGCAGTAGTGGCCTGAATAATAAAAAAAAGTCAGATATTATGTGTTTTGAATATAAATTTGTTTGTATATAAAAGTGAAAGCCTGCAGTTTAGGATAACATAGTTTTCTCTTTAATCATGTAAATTGCTCTTTAGTCATGTAGGTAGATATGTATGTACATCTTATGTGCTTGACATTGAGAACAGTTATAAGGAAATTAAACATTTTTCCTGGTCCTAAGTGAGTTTATAGTCTAGAAGTAGTTGGTCATTTAAAAAATATTTTTGCCCGGCGTGGTGGCACACGCCTGTAATCCCAGCACTCGGGAGGGTGAGGCAGGAGGTTCGTGAGTTCAAGACCAGCCTGGGCTACATAGTAAATTCCAGGTCAGTCTCAACTACCTAGTGAGACCCTGTTTTCTAAAAAAAAAAAAAAAAAAAAAAAAAAAAAGTTTTTATTAGTACGTGATTGTGATACATATACAATTGTCCTTTTTACTTCCCTGTACTCCTCTCTTCCCTCTCCCTACATCCCTAGAGCCCCTTCTCATATGTAGTTGTCAAAATAAAGCACTTAGCTCTTTCAGTGTACCTTGTTAGAAATGGAAGATACAGAGATAACTAAGCATGAACTTATAATCTTTTGGAGAATTACAGTATAATTTTAGTAGAATTTTGATTAAAATTGATAAATACTAGATGCTTATTCTAGTATTTGGGATAATTATTAATCATATTCTAGGATCTGGGGTAAAGAGCCAGTAATGGGGAGAAAAAAATTGAAGTAGAAGGAGAGAAAAGATCATTTCTACTTTGATAGGTTTTGGGTTTCCTGGAAAAAAATTCTTGAAACTCTTAGCTTAATGAAACATAATCTCCACACCAGTTTCCACAGTGGTTGCTCCAGTCTACACTCCCACTAATAGTGGGGAATGGTTCCTGTTCTGCCACAGCCCCACCAGCATTTGTTATTGGGGTTGATTTAATAGCAGCCATTCTTTCTGGAATGAGATGGAATCTCAGCAGTGTTTTAATTTGCATTTCACAAATGACCCCGTGATGTTGATGATGTTTCGCATATTTATTTGCTGTTTCTTTGAGAAATGTCTTCATTTCTGATGCCCATTTTTGGATTGGGACTTTAAATTTGGGGGTGTGATTTTTTTTGAAGTCTTCGTATATTCTAGGTATTAGTCGTTTGTCTGAAACAGCTGGTAATTTTTTTTCCCACATTATGGGTTGTCTTTTCACTCTGTTGGTAGTTTGTCTTGCTGTGCAAAAGCTTTTTAATAGGATGAGATCCCAGTTGTTGATTCTTTGTACTAGTTCCTGTTTGTTTATAAAGTTTTTTCCTACATCAGTGGCTTCAAGAGTTTTACCTAGCCTATCTTCCAGCAGGTTTAGCATTTTCTGTTTTAATAGTTAGATCTTCGATCCATTTCAATTTTAGTTTAGTGCATGGTGAAAGATAAGGGTCTAGTTTTAATCTTTGGCAAGTTGAAACCCAATTTTTCCAGCACCATTTATTAAAGAAACTATCTATCCTCTAGTGACGGTGTCTGGCTCCTTTGTCCAAGATGAGGTTGCTGAGTGTCTGGAGTTGCTTCCACATCTTCTTTTTTTTTTTTTTTTTTTCAATCACAGCTTTGTAGTATAGTTTCAAGTAGGAGATTGTGATATGTGCTGCCTTTCCTTTGTTGCCTAAAATTACCTCTGCTATTCTAGGTCTCTTTTGGTTCCAAATGAATCATTTGGCGATTACTCAAAAAACTAATACTCGAGGTTTCATTTGACCTAGCTCTTCCTCTTCTTGGTATCTTCCCAGAAGAATTAAAAGCATCATATCACAGTAATACATATGTACACCCATGTTTACAGTGGCACAGTTTGTAATAGCTAAATCCCGAAAATAGCTCAAATGCCAATCAACTGGTGATTGAAGAAGAAAAGGCTTTTTTTAAAAAAAATAAAATGGAGCACTACTCATCCCTAAAGAAAGATAAAGTAAGGGCTGGGGATTTATCTCAGTGGTTTTGCCACCTGCTTCAGAAGCGCAAGGACCCAAGTTCGATCCTTGGTACCAAAAAAAAAAAAGGTGAAGAAAAATAAACTAGAGACGACATACACGTGTGTGTGAACACCAAATTGTTTCTGTTATGAGAGTGTAAATGAGGACCAAAATATATAATAGATATTGTGAAATAGGAAGAAAATGTTCAAAGGGGAAGGGCAAATTTGGGGGTGGGTGAGGGAAAGGAAAGAGAAAAAATGGAAACAAAGCTTTTGTAAATAGGGAGGGGTTGAAGGGAGGGAAGGGAAAAAAAAAGAACCAAGATACATCATGTATAGGTACAAATTCCCAATGATGAATATGATCATAATGTATACCTAAAATGTATATAAATTTAATATTTTAAAAAATCACAAGCACATGCTAAGGAGTGTTATACATTCAATTTTGTTTAGTTTACTGAAAAGCGAAGAGAACTGAAGTCTGATGGTCGTTTAGATAAGGAACTTTCAGAATCCTATGCATTTCTCATGGTTGATCGATATCAGGTGAGTTGGCTCTTTACAAAATAATTAGAAGATGTTTCCATCTGAACTAATTTTTTGTTTGTCGTGTGTGTGTGTGTGTGTGTGTGTGTGTGTGTGTGTGTGTGTGTGTGTGTGTTGCGTTGCGTTGCCAGGGGTTGAACTCGGGACCTTCCACATATCAGACAAGCAATGTACCACTCTGCTACATCCCCAGCCCTTTTTTCTTTACTTTTTTAAAATTTTGAGAAGGGTCTTGCTACATTGCCCACTCTGCCCTTGAACTCTCAGTAATCCTTCCGCCTCTGCCTCTTATACCAGTAAGGTTACAGGCATGCATGGCTACACCAGCACAGTACACCTCCAGCTTTTTTTTTTTTTTTTTTTTTAAAGAGCCGGCTGTGTTTCCTAACTTGTCAAGGCTGGCCTTGAACTTGAAATCTGCCCTTCTAAGGTTCCAAAGTAGCTGAGGTTGTATGCAGGTGTCACTGCTGGCTGTATCTTTCTTGATATAAGTAGAGGAAGTGATTCAGAGGGAGGGGAGAAGTATTTATTGTTTGGTAATTGGTTTTTTAGATATGTTCTCATTTTCCCCCTACCACTCCTGTTTTTTTCCCTTGGAATGTACTTGATAATGCACTTCCCTTTGTTAAAAAGATTTTCTTGTTGATTATATGTTCTTGGAGCTATTTTTTTCTTTTAATTAAAAATGTTTAGGTGGAGCTACTTTAAGTGTTTTTCTTTCGCTGGTTTTAATTTTTTCTAAAAGAGGATGATTGTGAGAGGCAGGGATTTGATGTATCATACCTAGTGTAAATGTAGATTCCAGATGTGATTACTTTGTGTTTTTGTTTTTGTCTTTGTTTTGTTTTTTGTTTTTTTTTTTTTTTTGGTGTTTTGAGACAGGGTCTCACTCTGTAGTTGAGACTGACCTGGAACTCACTATGCAGCCCAGGCTGGTCTTGAACTCACTCACAGCAATCCTCCTGCCTCAGCCTCCCGAGTGCTGGGATTACCGGCATGCGCCACCGCGCCTGGCAGGATGTGATGACTTTGGAAGTATTAGTTTCACATAGATATTTAGGCATTTATATATATATATATTTTTTTTTTGCTTGAAATTTCTGTAAGGTAAAATATATATAGCTTAGAAGTTTAGATTTTATTTAAAGCAAGCTTACAAATTACTTTTTTATATTTTTAATATTATGATTGCAAGATGAAGTGTTTTGTTTTTTAGGTTCAAAGCATATGTGAAAAAGGATTGCAAGTGGGCCAGTCCAAAATAACAATTCTTGGCAGTCCTTCCATGGGTAATTTATTTTGTTTTTCATTTATATTTACTATTAAGTTACCATTAAAATACATCTAATTAATTTTTGCTGTAGTCCTTGAAATTAAATTTGTATATGGTTTATCCTGTTTCCAGAAAAGGTGACTAGTCTCAGGTTCTGAAATGTAAAACCAGTTTTATCTTTTGTTTGAGTTTGCATGTTTCTAATTGATCAAAGTTTACTTAATATCTTATAGTCTAAATGATTTTGAAAAATGTGATGCTTTTTCTCAGTTTATTTTACTTTGATTAAAACATCAGCTGCCTCTACTATCCTTATATATCTTTTCTTTTATTATTCAATATTTGAATTTTTTTGTATTCATGTCCTGCTTAAATTCTTTTAATTTTTCTGTCTTTATTAGGTATCTATCTTTCTAAATATGCTGACTTATTACAAGCTAATCCTTTGGAAGCTGGGGCAGTGGGCGATGTTGTGATTTTTAAAATAATGAAGGTAATTTCAGGTTTTACATTTCACATATGAAAGACAACATTCTATTTGAATTTTAATTTGAAGTGACCTCAAGTATTTAGGAGTTTGATTAAGTTAAAGTCTACACTTGCTAGTGTTGAAGTCCATGCTTGCTAAGTTTGTGAAGATACTTTTGAGAGTGTATTATCTGATTAAGCTAACTATACTTAAAAGAGTGTGTTTTCACTTCTAAAGAGAAGAATAAAGAAAACAGGGTAATACGTTGGTAAATTTAACTTAATGAAGAGTGTTGTGAATAGAACTTCTAATTATTTAATCAAGTTTTAGGCGAATACTTGAAAGGGTTTTCTCTATTTTAGGGTAAAATAAAGAGTATATATGACCCCATGGGTGTGAAAAACTTGGAATCCATGTTAAATAAAAGTGCTTTGGACCCCACACCAAAGCATGAATGTCACGTGTCGAAGACTGCAAGTGGAGTTACATCACTCTTGGCTTACAGAGCCTATGAGCTTACTCAGGTATGTGCCTGGATCCAGTTTAATGTTATGACCTCATACCTGTTTCTGAATCCTTCAGACTGTTTCCCTTTCACTGCTGCTGCCACATCAGTCTCTTCTAGATTCCAATGTTTCTGAGTGACTTGTCCACCTTGCTTTTTTGATTTATTTGCATTTAAGTCCAGATATTTTATTTTCAAGTAATAAGCAAAATGGTAATTAATTATGACCATAATATTTTTTTTCAATCAAATTAACCTTTCTAGAGCTGACCTAGGATCTTAGGTTTCATTTGTAATGTTTTTATTGGGAAATTTGTTTTACATTCCCAATGGCCAACTCCTCAAAAGAATACTTTGGAATACGTAGTAGTAGTAGTAGTAGTAGTAGTGGTAGTGGTGGTGGTGGTGGTGGTGGTGGTGGTGGTGGTGGTGGTGGTGGTGGTACCACCTTGGGTTCTGATACAAATAGAAATAGAATATTACATGTCACAAAGTAAATATAAACTACAATTTTTTTCAGTTAAACTGCCAGGCTGGAGCTTGAAGAAATTTTCCATAAGACGTGCTTAAATGGTTTTGATTTCTTAAAAGTCAGACAGATAAATACAAAGTTTCACTTTGTACTATTTGCCTACTTAATTTTACATTTTCTTATTTTTAGTATTATTTTTATGAGTATGGCTTTGATGAACTAAGGCGAAGACCAAGACATGTTTGTCCATATGCAGTTGTGTCTTTTACTTACAGAGATGATATACAAATTCCAAAGTTTGTTTCCTCATCAAGGTAAGACTTAAGAGTTTTAGACATCATCCAGAGTAAGATGCTACACTACTGAGTTAGAGGGACTTGTACCTTCTCACTTAAAAACTTAAAAAAACCCTTAATTTCAAGTTTGAATGTTCATGATGATTTTTAAAAGATCATTGTGAAAGATCATTTGGCTATGTGGAAACAAATCAAAATTTTTGTAAACTTTATCTGGTTTCTTTTGGCACTGGAGGCTTGTATAGTTGAGTTAATAGAAGTTTTTAAAAGTGAAATTTTGGTTATTAGGTTTCCTAAAATTGGGGAGCTTTTGTAAATGATGCCCTAGCCCTTCCCCAAAGCACTCAAATCTGATACTAGGGAGCCTAGGCATGGTAGTTATTTAAAGCTTCCCTGTGATTCTAATTATCAACCAGTATTGAGTATCACGGATAATTTCTTAATAACACTAAGGTGACCAAAATACATAGTAGTTACCCATTCTTCCCCATGTAGTGATTCTAGAAAATGTTTTAACCGAATGGATTAAGTAAATTTACACAGATGTAAGTGAGATAGTTAAATGTTTATTTTCATTTTGAGTTGCAGTGCATGTTTGCAATTACTTGTGATAGCTATTAATTTAGAAAAAAATTTTCTTCTGTAGGGGGGATTGAACCTAGGAACTCTCCCACTGAGCTATATCCCCACTCCTTTTAAAAACTATTTCAAAATTTTGAGACAAGATCTCACTTAAATTGCTGCCAAGGCTACCCTTAAACTTGTGATCCTCCTTCCTCAGCCTCCTGAGATTACAGGCATGTGCCTGATCGAAATATTGCTGTTTTAAAAGCCACGGATGAAACATTTATAGATGTATTTCATGTGGGCCTCTTTATCAGTTTTCTAAGTCAAATTATCCTGTAATCTATTTAAGTTACTTGAAATGCAGCAATTTTTCATGTCAGTGAATGAGCCCTGGAAACCATTTGTGGTTGCAGGTATCAATCCATATAATATTAGACAGTTGTGTTTTTATCCTTTCTAAAAAATTACCCTATGTTTATGATCTCCATGATGTGCTTATTTACTATAGCACTTTTTTAAAATAAATGATCTTTAAAAGACATCTAGCATTTATTAGGAGGTCATGCCCCTAGGAATAATGACTTTTCTTTGATTCCTCTTTGATTCTGATTTCTGTGTTATGTTAAATAAGCTTTGATCATACAGCCATCCTGCACCTTGAATGTTCCATGAATGCTAATTGTCTTGGGACCTTGCATTTGCTGTCTGTTCTTTTTTTTCCCTAATTGCTTTATTTGTATATGTTTTTCCTACACTGCAGTTCTCTCCCTAAATGTAACCTTCTCAGTGAGGCCTTTTCTGATTTTTTTTTTTTTAAAACCTTTATACCATGTCTTTTTCTTCATAGCACTTAAAACCATCATCACCTGGTAAGCTTTATACATGTTTGGTTATCATCTGTCTTCTTCATTAGATTGTAAATTCTTTGAAATTCAGCATGGACTTTGTCTTGTTTATTCCTGTAATCTTGTTACCTAGAATGATGCCTGGTAAATAATAGGATCTTATTAGTAATTTTTTTTCATTGAGTTTATTGGTACTTTTTAAGTATACAGTATAGTTACATTCATCACTGGGATCTTGTACCTTTATGTGACAGATCTTGGTTCTCATTTTTTCCCCATTCCCCTGCCCTCCCTTCACCCCCTCCACCCTCCCTTCTTTACAAAGACTTTGTTTCCATTTTGTCCTTTTCTCATATTTTTTCTTTTCTCTTATTTCTTTTCTCCTACCCTTCTGTCTTCCCCTACACCTTTAGCCCTTTTCTTCCTATTTGACATTTAGTAAATATTTTTGAATGTCAAGTGAATATACACTTTTTTTTCTAATCTTATCACAAAGATAAAATAATTGAAAGAAACTTTAATGGACTTTTCGCTGTTAATGATTATTTTTTTGGTTGGAATAAAAGCTTTGGCAAATGCGGTAATAGCAAAATAAATACTTTTTATTTAAGTTCACTTGGATTTATTAAATTCTATAATGAGAAATTAAGTTGTTTTACTTGGAGGAAGGATGCCATTCTTTTATGCAGTATACCATTACAAATAGCAATTTATAGGTTGGGTAAGCAGCTCAGTGGTTGATTGCTTTCCTAGCATGCATGAGGCCATGGGTTCAGTCCCTAGCCCTGCAAAAAGGCACTTGTATCAAAAGTTCTAAATGTTAACTTGCATGTTTTTACCAATCAGTAATTTTTTTTCCTCTTTTTAACAATTTGTAGATCTAACAGCTTTAATGCAGATAGAAACATAGGTAAGATTCTTGTATTTCTTTAGTTTTATAAACAAAAATAAATGAATGCTCTGTTTTATTTTTATAATGAAAGAAAAATCTGAAAAAGCAGATAAGGCTATGTTATTTAGCATTAATACTTGGTTATCCAAGTATAAGGTCTCCCTAAATTTAAGAAGCTCCAACTTCTGAAGATGGAGCAAAGGATAACTTGTAAACTATCTGTTTATCTAAAGATAAATAGATTTCACAACTCAGCCTTTTTTTCTTCTGTCTTTCTTTCTTTCTTTTTCTTTCTTTCTTTTTGAGACAAGTTCTTGCTATGTAGTTCAGGCTGGCCTTGAACTCACTATGTACTCCCGCCTGGCCTTGAAATTGTGCTAATCCTCCTGCTCCAGCCTCTGGGATTACAGTCATGTACCACCATGCCTAGCTACAACTCAGCCTTTAAAAAATATAAAATTCGTCAGAGGTTTAGCATTTAGAAGAGGGTAAAGATTAAAAGTGACATTATTGTTATGTTTCTTCATAATGAAAAGTGAGTGAATAGAAGATAGCAGACATTGTGGGCATTCATGTAATACCAGATTTAACACAAGTCTCTTGGGAGAAGTAAAAAGGCAGTGATGATAGTATTGTCTTTGTTTCTTAGCTTTCTGATGAGATTTGGACAGAAAAATGTGTTACTTGTTGATACTGAATTTTTATTGTAGGAGAAATGATAATTGAAACATCCTATTATTTGAACTTGTCTGTAAATGGAAATAGCAGTTTTATGTTTGTTTTCTAGTTAAACCTTGTTTCTAAATGTATTCCTTATTTTTAGTGTTGTACATTTATTTCTTTGGGCTGTCATGTGACATTGTTACTTTTTAAATTTAGATAAATTTAACTACACCTTGTGGAAAGGACAGCTTTTAAATAAAGGAAAGCTCCTGTGTTATATTTCTCTGAGGTCAGCCACTCGTGCTTTTTTGCCTATCAAGCTGTAAGTATGTTATAAGAAAATAGCAGTTGATGAAAAATATTTGTTTAATTCTTCCATTTTATATTTACATTTTGCTTTGTTCCAGAAGAATTTAAATATAAACACTTATTTTTAAGAAGATTGATTTAATAACTTTAGAAATTTAATTGATACAAGGAACCCTCTACTTCTTTGTCTTGATTTGAAGATGGGCTAGTTGACACACATTTGGGGCATAAAAATTTTTGTTAGTGATTTAAAAATAAAAAAATAATATTTAAAAGTCTGATCCTGATTTGATACATTTTTCATTTGGCAATTTGAATATTTTAGACTTAAAAGGTTACCAGTTCTTTGTGGGAAAGGCCTTAATGTAGTAAGTTAAGTTAGAATACATAGGCTATTTTCTGTACTATGCAGCATATGTTGGAGTAGAATGATCTAACATGATCTTTTGCTTCCACCACGGTAAACATGTTGGGCCTTCATAAAGATCTGAAAATTAACAGTTTGTGCTTGAATTATCTCAATAAAATGACAATATTTAACCCTTTGTTATTACTGAAATTGGCGTATAGGATTAGCTTTTGGCTGTGCAAGTGAGTTTGCTAATATTAGAGGCTGTTTATGTTTAGGCATCTAGACTTTTCCATATTAAGTTCTCTTTAGAATAAATGAAATATTAATCAATATACCCTTCTATTTTCCTTTAAGCAGTGTGTGTGTGTGAGTGAGAGAGAGAGAGAGAGAGAGAGAGAGAGATTGAGAGAGATTGAGAGAGATAATATTGTCAGAGTTAAAAATATGGGCAAGACACATGTGATTTTTTTGTTTTTTGTTTTTTTTTCCAGTCCTGAAAAGTTAGATGTTGAAACAGTCATGAGTATTGATCATCTGAAACAGAAAATTCCTCCAGCGCTGTTTTATAAGGAAACATATATAGGTCCAAATGAAGGTAAAGTAATTTAATTTTACTAAAATATATGAGAAGTGGACTTTGGGATATTTACTGTGTGTGTGTGTGTGTCTGTTTTTTTTTTGTCAGTGTTGAAGAATGGAATGTATTGCAGCCTTTACGAAGTTGTAGAAAAGACAAGAATTGGAAGTAACATGGAGAGTTTACTGCAAAAACTAGATAAAGAAAAACTTGTGAGTGAAAGGTTTTGAAATACTCCTTATTCTTTGAAAACATATTAGTGATTATATTAATATTTCAGTTTAGATTTTGCTTCTGAAAGTACTAGAAAGTTCTGTTGCTACTATTTAATTTAGTTAACAATATTTTAGTTTGGCTAGTTTTCTGGCCATGACACTAGACCTTCTCTAGCAGTGGTGGTAAGCCTATGGCACATGTGCTACAGCCTATTGTTTATCATTGAAACCTCTGAAAGATTCACCATCACTCTTCTTTAATCTTTCTCTTGAAGTATCTTTATTATACTTTGTAATTATGAATGTGATAGTCATATTTTTTTGAGTATCTTTTTGGTTTTTTTTGGTATAGAGATTTAACCCAGTCCTGAAGCACTGGGCTTTGTACTGAAGTACTTCTACACTTTTTTATTCTTTATTTTGAGACAGTGTCTCACTGAGTTGTCAGAAGAGTAGCAGGCAGAGATTTTCTTCTATTTTATATGCTGTCTCTTCTATATTCTGTTGTTTCTCTTGCTGTGTGGAAACTTTCTGATTTGATATAGCCTACTTGTAAAATTTTGTTACTATTTCCTGCGCAGTTGGAGTCCTACTTAGGAAGTCTGCCTATGTCTATGGCTTCAAGTGTTTCCACCATGTTTTATTCTAGCAGTTTCAAAGTCTCAAGTCTTATACATAGTTCTTTGATCCATTTTGAAATCGATATTTGTATGAAGTGAGAGATGGATACCAAGTTTCAGTTGTCCACAGATGGATATCCAGTTTTACCAGCACCATTTGTTAAAGAGACTGTCTTTTTTCCAGTATATGTTTTGTGCTCCTCTGTCAAAATCAGTTTTAGCTACATAGGTTTATTTCTGTGGGTTTATTTTTATGCCAGTGCCATGGTGTTTTTATTTGTACGGCTTTATAGTATAATTTGCAATCAGGTATTGTGATGGCTCCTTTTGCTTAGGATTGCTTTGGCTATTCTGGGTCTTTTGTATTTCCTTATGAGTTTTAGGATTTTTTTTTTTCCTAGTTCTGTGAAGAATCATCGGCATTTTGATTGGTACTGCACTGAATCTATAGAATGCTTATTCTGACAATCAATGTATATTGGGAGATCTTTCCATATATTAGTGTCATCTTCAGTGTTGTATAATTTTCACTGTAGAGGTTTATTACCTCTTTGGTTAGGTTGATTCCTAGGTACTTTAATTTCATTTTTTTGAAGCTATTGTGAATGGAATTTTTCTAATTTGTTTCAGTTCTTTACTGGTGTGTAGAAAAGTTGTTGTTTCTTTAATGTTGATTTTATGTGTGTGTATGTAATGTTTTTGCAGGGGGTGGCATACTGGGGATTGAATCCTGGATGTGTTAAGCATACTAAGTATATGCTTTACAGTAGAACTACATCTGTAGCCACATTTCAGGGCATTTTTTTGTTTGTTGTATATGTAGAAGTGTAATTGATATATATATTGAGTCAGATCAGTGTGATATTTGATAGTTTTTGTATGTTCTTGGCATTTATATGCAGATTCATTTTCTGGGAGGAATGTTATTTTTGTTTTGTTTTGTTTTGTTTTTGTAATAAGGTCTTACTGTGTTTCCCAGGCTGGTCTCCCAAGTCCTATGATCAAGGGATGGATCCTCCAGCCGCAACTTTCCATTTAACTGGGACTACAGGCACTAGTTTAATACATTTTTTACTTAGTGTTACTGTGGATTCGAGGTTCCTTTAGTCTGATGTTTGATAAAAATAGTGATTTTTAGACATTGTTGTCTTCTTGATTTTACAAAGAACACTTTTGACATTTCATCATTTTTTAAGTAGGAAATTTGCAGTCGGTCTTAAATCTATTCTGGATTTCACATTTTACACATGAAGGGATTTTGAATTTCAGCAAATGTATATATATATATATATTTTTAATTAGGGTTCTCTAAATGAAAAACAAATACAGGGCCAGGGATTTAGCTCAAGGGTGCTGTGCTTGCCTTGCAAGTGCAAGGTCCTGGGTTTGATTCCCAGTACCAAAAAAAAAAAAAAAAAAACCAATAGTGTGTGTGTGTGTGTGTGTGTAAAAGAACAAGACTTCATTCTTACTATAAAGAATTGGTTGATACGATATCCCAAATGTGTAAGTTAGTAAGGTGGAGGTCAAGGGGAGTTGATGTAGGTCTTACTCTGAAGGCCTGAGAACCAGGAGCATCATTAGCGCACTTCTAGTCTGAAGGTTGGCAGTACTTGTCTTAATTTTTTTTGGGGGGGTGGGTACCGAGGATAGAATTATTAATTTTTGTGTGAAAATTATACTTGCTTTCCAGATAAGCTAGGTAATATTTCTTCTTTTTTGTAAGAGATGGATATGGATGGATGTACAATCCTCCTTTGATATTCTTGGGAGTGGTTCTATGACTCTATACAGCTACCAAAATTCATGAGTGCTCAAAAAAGGTGTAAAAAAGTTGTATAAAAGGTATAATATGAGCATATCACCTATATACACCCTTCCACATATAGTATTTTAAATCATCTCTAGATGATTTAAAATAACCAATACCATAAAAATCCTCTGTAAATAGTTGCTAAACTATACCTTTAGGGAGTAATGATAAAAGGTGTACATATTCAGTATAAACGCATTCATTGTAGGGCTAACTACACAGTATGCAAACATGAGGGCAGTGCTCATACAGCGAGAGCTGGAGAGAGACTGTGGTGGTGGGAAGCTAGAGTAGGTTATGCCTACATCGCATTTCGTATGGATTCAGTATATTGTTTGGTGAGTGGCAAATTCAAATTTTGCTGTTTAGAAACTTCTGGAATTTTTTCCCCTCAAACATTTTTCATCCACAGATGGCTGAAACCAGATACAGACCTCATAGATGTGGAAGACAGACATTATATATTAATCTTATATAAGATTAATATAACTTATCCTTTGTTGAGTAGCACTTTTCTGCAAAACTCTTTGGTTTATGAATGATTTTAAGATACTGATTTCATTTCTTTTAACAGTTTTCAGGCTATTTCTTCTTGGGTCAGTTAACATAGTTTTGTTTTTTTAGGAATTTGTTCATTTCATCTAAGCTTTCAAATGCAGTAGGCTAGAATCATTCATATAGTTTCTTTAATATATGTTATGAGCACTTTCACATTGTTTCATTATTCCTCATTAACACTTCCCCCAGATGTCTGCTTTTTTGTCTTAATCAAATACTGGTTTTGGCCCTTTTTGTAGTACTTTTGTTTTGTTATTTTATTTCTGATGTTAATTAATGTTTTTTCCCCCAGGTTTATTTTGTTAATTTGTGACAACTTGAAAAAAAAAAAGACAATGAATTCTTAGTTTCAAGTACCGCTTTATTTGCATTCCACTTTTTTTTTTTTTGGTACTGGTGATTGAATCTAGGACCTTCCTACTGAGCTACATCCCTAGATCCCCAGCCCTTCTTATTCTTTAAATTTTGAGACAAGATCTTACCAAAGTCACTAAGTTGCCCAGGCAAAGTTCAAACTTGTAGTATTCTTGCCTCAGCTTCCCAGAGTACATGGATTACAGGTGTATGTCACCATGCCCAGCTTCCATGTTTTAATGTGTTGTATTTTTGTTATCATTTACTTCTTGCTTTTTTTTTTTTTTTTGGTACCGGGTATGGAACTCGGGTCTTTGCACTTGCAAGGCAGGCCACTGAACCGCTGAGCTAAATCCCCGGTCCATGTTATCATTTACTTCTAAGTATGGTTTAGTTTTCATTATGTTTTCTACTTTGATACATGATGTAGAGATATGTGTTTTTAGTTCCAAATGTACTTTTCCTTTTCTAATTTAATTGTATGGCAGTTGAACAGGTAGAATTATTTGGAAGTTGTTGAGATTGCTTTAAGAGACCTGTATGGTCAGTTTTTGTACATGCTCATGTTTGAGAGGGATGTATACTCTTTAATTATTGGATGCTGGATAGAGAGTTCTGGGATGACAAGCATATTTTTCTTGTATTTGGCTTCTGTTTTTTTAAAATGTCAGCTGTTGGTCTCAGTGAGTATTTGTTATATAGTTCATTGTTTTTTTCTGGTCATTGTTTTTTTTCTGGTCGTTGTTGTTTTTGGTCTTTGATGATTTGCACTTATATTATTTAGGTATTGATATCGTACTTGCCCAGCTTGATGTATATTTTTCCATATCTATGAGTTTTTATTTTCATTTCTGGAAAAATTGTTAGCTGTTGTCTCTGTATGCCATTTAGGGCTATGAAGAACCTTGTCATAACCTTTTCATTCTGTCCTTTATTTCTGTTAATCTCTCTTTTGTTTTCTATCTACTTGTTCATCTGTCCTGCAGTTTAAATTTCATCATGACTGCTTTCTAATATAAAAATTATCTCTCTCTTTTTTTTTTTTTTGGTACCAGGAATCGAACTCGGGGCTTTGTGCTTGCGAGGCAGGCGGTGGAACCACTGAGCTAAATCCCTGGCCCTAAAAATTATATCTTCAGCTGTGTCTGATTTGCTGTTTCATTTATTTATTGAGTTTCTAATTTCATAGAGAATTTTTTTTTCCTGAAAGTTATATTTGATTTATTTTGTTTTGCTTTATTTCGTTGAGATAGTCCCACTGTGTAATTCAGGCTGGCCTTGAACTTTCAGGCGATGCACCTGCCTCAGCCTTGAGTGCTGGCATTGTAGGCATGTGCCACCCCACCCAGCTATTTGATTCTTTTTGAATCTGCCTGGTCATTTCTAACAGGTTTTTATTAATTCTTTCCAGTGTATTTATTTAGTATCCATTATGTACTAGGCACTGTTCTATGAGCTAGATATAAACTTTGGTATTCCTTGCCATTTTTTTATTGAAATGAAATTCACACAATATCAAATTCAACATTTTAGCCTTTTTGAAGTGTACAATTCAGTAGTTTTTTTGTAGATTGATAGTGTTGTGTAACTATCATCACTAATTCTTGAAAAATTTTCATTATCCCAGAAGAAAATCTCTTGTATCCCTTAACCATTCACATGCATTCTTCCCTTCCCCAAGTCCCTGGCAACCATTACTTGTTCTGTGGATTTGTGTATTCTATTTAGATGTCCCCCAAGGCCTCATGCTGATAAGGTGGGATTTTTTTTTTTTTTTTTTTTTTTTAATACCGGGGATCAAACTTGGGACCTTGCGGTTGCGAAGCAGACAGTGGAACCACTGAGCTAAATCCCTGGCACCAGATTTCTGTATTCTAGACACTGTATATAAATAGAACCAGGCCTTTTGTGCCTGACTTCTTAACGGCATATTGTACTTTCAGAATTCATCCATGTTATAATGTGTATCAGCATTTCATTCCTTTTTATGGATGAACTTTAGTTGCAGTATGTAGGTAATGCCGCCTTTTGTTTGTTAGTAGTTTTCACTTTTTGACTATTATTATTTTGAGATAGGGTCTTGCTGTGCAGTTCAGGCTGGCGTTGAATGCACAGCAATCCTCCTGGCTAAGCCTCCTGAGTGCTAGGATTATAGGTGTGTTCTACCATGCCCAATTACTCTTTTTGACTATTAAAATCATTACTTCACAAGCTTAAATATTTCATGGTTTCTCTTATATGAGAAACTGTATATAAATGAAGTAAAAAGTGAAAGATAATAAGTAGGGAGATCTTTTGGGAAGGGGATTAAGAGATGGAGGGAGGAGGCACAGGTAGAGAGAGAGGAGAAGACAATGAAGATTTAAGATGTGTTGTGTACTTGTGCCAATACTCAAGAATGTAATCATTATGTTCTACAAACTTACTAATAAAAACCAAAAATAGAAAAAAATTGGAATAGGTCTAAATCAGTGAAGTACATTGATGTATAATCTTTTGTGTGAACGTGTTTTCAATTCTGAGTTTTATTTCTATAAATATTTCAGTGAGTTATTTGATATTTTGTATTTGACAATTCGTAGTTGAAGCCTTTAGATGTTTGAATTTGTGTTTTCTACTGAATCTAACATAATAGTCTGTTCCCTTCTAAGTTAGGTGATTTATTATAAACTCCTTATATGCTTTTTAGTAGTTATTGGTTCCATATTGCCTCTAATGTTATTTGATAAGTCAACATAGAATAAAGTAAGAAAAATTGACAGCTTGGGTTAATATTGTTTTCTGACAGGGAACAAACACTTAAGGTATGATAAGTAGAAGCAGCAAGAACATAGAGCTCTTGGCTTTTCCTTTCCTTTAGGAGTGAAGGTGTTTCTTTGGGCTCCAGCCACAGATATAACTGCTAGGGCTTCTGTCTACCTTACAATTATTTCTCTTTGTAGACCATCTGTACGTCATGGTTTTCTGGGTACATCGAAGTTCCTTAAAGTATGAGCCTTTAGGTCCCTAGGCCAGTGAAATTTATAAAGCCTAGGTACTCTATTTGGAGTGGGTGAGAAGTTAAACATATGTGGCTGGTTTTCCTCAGTGAGCACAGAATATGAAAATGTTTTGTTTCCCCAACATCCTGTTTTGACACCTTGGAGTTGGGCAGAATGCTAAAGGAATATAATATTTAAACATTTTGGATTAAAGTATATCTTTTAAAAAATAAGCAGGTACATTGTCCACTTGCAGCACATACTCTCAAAGAGATATGGCTACAAGATTAATGATAAAGATGAGGCTCACTTTAAGCATCTTGAGGGACTAGTAGTACATGTCACTTAGCAATGTCATGCAGCTTGGCTTGGAGATTTCCAGGAGATAAGACCTTCTCTGTAAAGAGGTAACTTTTATGAATCAAAGTATACCGTGACTTAAACTCCTTTAATGATATAAGCATTTAATTACCTATCTAGAATGATTACAGGTATAAAAAAGGGGAAGGATTCCCCAGCCTTTGAGAATGGTCCCCGGAGACCTTCTCTGGTCAGTCAATCTATGACCCCTAGACTGTATGTGGTCCATCTTACCAGCCTACTTCCACCATCAGTCCTACAAGCATGCTGCCAGAATGAACTGCTTGAGCATCACTTGGCATCTTAAGAGTTTGGCACTGGTTGAATTGAAAAGGGAGAAGTTGTTCCTTGGGAAGTTGATCTACCAGGACTCTTGAAATCACCAGATATGAAACCACTGTACATTTGTGTGTTCAAACAATATTTTTGTTAAATGTGAATGAGTAGCACAGTCACCTTTTGTCCTTTATTTATTTTTATTATTATTTTTATTTAAAAAAATTTTTTTGAGACAGGGTCTCACTGTGTAGTTGGGACTGATCTGGAACTCACTATGTAGCCCAGGCTAGTCTGGAACTCACAGCGATCCTCCTGCCTCAGCCTCCCGAGTGCTGGGATTACAAGCATGTGCCACCACGCCTGGCTTTGTCCTTTAAATTACTAGTTTTCATTCAGATTTTGCTTACTGGCATTGTTTAATAGGAATTTAGGTAGAACAAGTTTTCTTTCAGAACTCAACTGTCCCTTTTATGTTCATCTACCTTGCTCAATTCCTCATTTGCTCATCTGTTTATTCAAAAAATACTGTGAATCTTTTTTTGACAATACTAAGGATTAAACCCAGTGCCTTTGCAATAAGCTACTTCTCTAGCCTTTTTATTTTGAGATAGGGTCTCACCAAGTTGCCCCAAGTTGGCTTTCAACTTGTGATTCTCCTGTCTCAGCCTCCCAAATAACTGGGATTAAATGTATGTGCCACTATACTCAGCTCTTAGTTATTGTTTTAAGGAAACAGTGCATTACAAAAGAGTGTATTCTCAAGGACATTCCTGGCTAACTTGGTGTTCTTGTTTATTTTACACTCTGATACCTGATCTGGCTTTCTAGATGTTTATCTTAGTCTTGTCTCAGCGAACTGATCTTTTCTCAGTTTGCTAATACTAAGTACTATAATGCCTTCAGACTGTCCATGTAACTGTATTATAACTTGCAATTGCTGATGATGTTGGCTCTCCTAAAATGTACTTTCCACAGTCTCAGGCTGTTATCAGACCCACCTGATCTTCAAAAGTCTACCTTCAGTAAACCTTTCTAGACCATCTTTTTCTATTGTAAACAAACTGTTTTTTCCATTTCTTTTCCTTTATAAATCTCTTAGGAAACTTTTCTGTCTTGCACAATTATTGGTATTTTCATGTGTTACTCTCTGTACTCATTATAAACTTAATGTCCTCCAGAATCTTGTGTTACCGATCTTTCAAGTAATCTCTGGCAGGAGAAATTGCAAAACATTAAATATGTGTGGCATTAGCTATGGCAATATTTTTCATTTGAGATTAACCTGACATGCAATACTGTAATGGCAATTTAATAACATCTTTTAAATTGGTGATGAAAATATGAAATCTTTAGTTTGGTACTTATATTTTTTGCTTTAGGGAAAAATTAACAAGTTGGCTTCACAGTTAATTATGGAGATTATCTTAGTAACATTCTCTAGTTGTATTATGAAAACAAATTTGATTGGAATTCTGTTAGTCAGCAGAGTTGGTAAAGACAAGAGATTTTTTTGTTGTTGTTCTGGGGAGGAGCAGTGCAAGGATTAAATAATTTTAAATGAATTGAGAAGCAATATTTTGCCTTAAAAGATGATTAAGACCTTTTTTCTTTATAATTAGGGGAAAGTGCTATGTGTATGACTTATATATAGTAAGTAATAATAAAGCAGATACATTTTCTTTCCTTTTCCAAAATGCAGGCTCTTGTTAAACCATTGGGAGACAGAGGATTCCTTTTTCTTCTTTCTCCATATCAGATGGTTTCTCCATATGGTAGGTGATCATCTCTCTTTACCTTTTAATGGTTTAAAAAAAAATCTTTCAGTCAGAACACATTGCTGCTGGGTGTGATGCCACATGCCCATAATCCTAGCATTTGATAGGCTGAGGCAGGAGAATTGCCACAAGTTGAGGCTGCCGGGGCTACCTAGTGAGTTCAAGGCCAGCCTGAACCTACATAGTGATACCTTGTCTCTGCCAACAGCAAAACAAAACAAACAAAAAACAAAACCCCACAAAAACACATTGCTAATGAATTTGGCTTCTGTTTTTTAGAACATCAGATTGTCAAGTCTCGAATCCTACATGCCTTGTTTCTATTTCAAGAACCTAGAGGCATAATTACTTGTAAGTTCTTTAACTCTCCAAATCTAATTACTTATACCTACATGTTATTGAAAATTTTCAGATAACTTAACATTTTATCTTTCCTATATCACGTTTTGGGAAATACTGGGGAGAATCAGAGGTATTAACAATTTAAAACACATGACTTGGTATTTATCTAATTAAGAAAAATTATTTTGGTTTTATCATTGCTTTTTCATCAGTAAAGTTTGATACAATTGTTATTGTACTGCAGCTAGCTTTTGAGAGTTTTATATAGTTATTTTTCTTAGTGAATTTTTCATTCATATTTCTCTTTATCATGTGTCAGATTAAATTATAGGCAAATTAAAATTCAGAATTGATGAGAATTTTTTCATTAGAGAAAATTTGCTATTCACCCTTTGTAAGAATAAACTTTAATATTATTATATAAGTTCCGAGTAGTAGTGTACTGTTAGACTAAGAATGCATTTCTGTTTTCACTAATAACTTTGTATTTCTCAGTTGTGGCTGCTTTGTCCTGTGTATCTGCTTATAGGGAAGAGAGTTTATATGAAGTTAAAGTTGTTACTTAAGAGAGAAAGGAATTGCTATCATTTGCAGGAGTATCTTGTTTGAAGTCTCAGGTCTTGACATCTGTATTTCTCCTTCCACTTTGTTTTGCTTACCAATATTTGAATTGCTTAGGGCCATATGAAATTAAGATAATTATTGATTGTGTGTTTTGTCTTTTAAAAATAGATTCTGCTACTTTACTTGTTTTGATTTTTAATTTGGCCTGTTTTTTGGCTTCTGGACATGCTGTATTATATACTTGTGTATGTATTAGGATACAGCTATTTAGTTCAATATTAATATATAAATGTTGTTACAGATTTTTGGAAGTGTGTATATCTGTATTTGATGAGTTTCTTGATTGTTGTTTTTGTTGTTTATTTACAGCACAAAAACTTTCAACCAGTGTAGCACCAAAGGAGAGGAACGAGCATGAGAGCGTACCAGATATATTAAGAATAGCTCAGTTCTTGCAGTTTGCTTTGATTCATTGTCGAAAAGAATTCAAAAGTATAAACACTATAAATTTTCATTCTGTTGTTGAAAAGTATGTAAGTGAATTTTTTAAGCGAGGTTTTGGTTCAGGTAAACGAGAATTTATGTTTTCATATGATTCACGATTAGATGATAAGAGATTCTTATACTCAGCACCAAAACATAAGTCCCATATTGATGATTGTTTGCATACCTATATTTTTCGGCCTGAAATGTATCAGTTGCCTATTTGTAAACTAAAAGAACTATTTGAAGAAAATAAAAAACTTCAACAGTTTAGTCCACTTTCAGATTATGAGGGTCAAGAAGAAGAAATGAATGGTACAAAAATGAAATTTGGAAAACGAAACAACTCAAGGCGTGAAACTGTTATACCTGGAAAGCAAAAGTCATGTCATTCTTTGGATTATGATAAGGATAGAGTCAAAGAATTGATTAATTTAATTCAGTGTAGGAAAAAAAATGTTGGTGGGGACCCAGACACAGAAGATACCAGAAGCAAGACTGTCTTGAAGAGGAAGCTTGAGGACATACCTGAAAATATGAGAAAGCTCGCCAAAACTAGTAATTTATCTGAAAATTACCATCTGTATGAAGGTAAAATAACAGATTTCTTTTATAATAACGTCCAAAAATATAGGAATTAGTTCTTTCCTGTAGTACAGAGGTGTGCAAATTAAAGCCTGTGGGCCAAATCTAAAGTTTCCCTCTTTTTGTAAAGAAAGTCATATTAGAGTACAGCCATGCCTTTTCATTCATGTATATATAGCTGCTTTCACACTGTCATGGCAGAGTTGGGAGACTCTGTCTGTGGCCTGCAAAGGCTAACTTACTGTCTGATCCTATACAGAATACATTTTCCACTCCTCTCCTAGTATGTCAGATTTCTGAATAGTTTGAGTTAGGCTAATAAAGTATACTTGGTGATTTTCCTTCTCATCCTTTTAGATTCCTATAATTCCATATTTGGAGAAATATAACAACACTGGGTTCTTTTTTTTTTTTTCCTCATTGAGTTTATTGGTACATTTTAGGTATACAGTACAGTTACATTCATCATTGGGATCTTGTGCCTTTACATGACAGGTAATACTGGGTTCTATTAGGATGTTAATGAAAGGAACCTTTTGAGCATTAATATTTCTTAGATTTGAAAACAGAATTTTCTACCCTAGAATCCAAGTGTCTTCTACTTTTTTTTGCTTTGCTTTCTGTTTTGATTGACAGAAAAGACAAAAATGGAGACTCTTAAGTGTATTTGTTTAAATATTTTAAGTAAGTTAAAATAAAATATTTTTATCATTTAAGTTTTTAAGATATTCACATTCTTAACCCGTTAGCATAAAATACATTGTTTTTGCATTCAGGAACCTTTACTATGATAATGCACATTTTGTACTGTTGTTTTTAATTATGGCAGGTTTTGAGTATGCCTCCATTTTCGATTGAGCAGTTTTCTTCTTTTTTTTTTTTTCTGAGATAAGTTCTTGCTAAGCAGTCTAGACTAGTTTAAACTCCCTATCGAGCTCATGCTGGCCTGGAACTCAAGGCACTCCTCCTGCCTCAGTCTCCTGAGTGCTGGGATTGTACCATGCCTTGCCTGGCTTTTTTGTCTTTTCAAATTTATTATCTGACTAGTTTTGGCAGATCAATGACCTTATTACATTTTTATGCTCCCAGCAATCTATATTTATGTCTTGACTTTTATCTGTTTTATTCTTGTACTAATTCAATATAGTAGTTGCTAGTGTGTGTCATTATTTAAGTTTAATTTAGTATATGTGCTGCCGAAGTGAGCACTATTTAAGTTTAATTTAAATCAGAAAATCTTTTTTGGGGGGGGCGGTTCTGGGAATTGAACTCAGGACCTTGCACTTGTAAGGCAGGCAGTGGAACCACTGAGCTTTTTATTTATTTATTTAGGTACCGGGGATCGTACTCGGGTCCTTGCGCTTGCGAGACAGGCCATCGAACCGCTGAGCTAAATCCCCGGCCCGACCACTTAGTTTTTTAAAGCCCCATTCCGAATAAGTTGTTTTTGACAGAGCTGTTGTCTGCAGTAACTTGGAGGAGGGTTTTTTTTTCCCTTGTATTTTTTTTCCCCCAACGTTACTTTCGTTGTCCATGTTCTCATTTCCTTGGTGACTTTCCTGACATTAATTTCTTTGATTCATTCCACTATCATGTTCTTGTCAGTATTGATGTATTAACTTGTAATCAGTCTCATCTTCTGTACTTGACATTGTTGTAAACTGGCCATATCCAGCTATTTTCCCCATTCGTTCATATACTATATTAAGATTCATCTCCCTTGACTATGTCCTGGTCAGTCTTTTACTTCCTTTTCTCTTCTCTTGAAGCATCTTGCACCTCTTTTAGTTTTAGTTTTTGTTTTTTTGGTTCCGGGGATCAAACTTGGGATGCAGGCTGTGGAACCACTGAGGTAAATCCCAGGCCCTTCTTTCAGTTTTTGTATGTTGGCAAGTCAAAGAACCTTCCTCAGCTTTCTGGTTGTCTTGTTCATTGATAGTCTGCATCTCCTTCAACTTGTGTTGAACTTGTGATCTGTGCTGAACCTGTTGATGCCTACTGATACATACTGTCTAAAGTGTTGGCCTGTGTCTTTGACACTTTCAAGTGCTATGTTCTGGGTGCTTTATTTATATGGACTTTCAGTTTTTTCTGGTCCCGAGAATCAAACTCAGGACCTTGCACTTGCCAGGCAGGCACAGTGCCACTGAGCTACATCCTGCCCCTCTCTTCCCTCCTCCCTCTTCCCTCCTCCCTCCCCCTCTTCTCTCTTTTTCCTTCTCTTTCTTTCTTTTGTTTTTTTGACAGTCTTGTTACATAGTTAAGGCTGACTTTGAGCTCACTACATGGCCAAAGCCAAAGTAGGCCTCAAACTTGTGGCGATCCCACCTCAGCCTCCTTAGTGTTGGGATTACAGGCATGCACCACCACACCTGGCAGGTAGCAGGCATTATTATCCTCATTTTGCAGAAAACCATCCCTGGTAGTAAATGACATTATCTAAAGTTACATAGTGGCAAAATCTAGTACTGATTCAGTTCTCATTGACTCCAAAGCATTGTTTTAAACTCTACTGTATTTCTGAGTACTGAGTGCATAATAGCCACTTAATAGTTTGTGGCTGGTAATTGGTTAATTCTCTGTGTGTGAATAATAGTCAAGTTTTGTCAACAATTTAAATGTTAGAAGCTGGGCATGGTGGTGCACACCTGTAATCCCAGCACTCAGGAGGCTGAAGCAGTAAAATTGCTGATGAGTTGGAGGCCAGCCTGGACTACATAGTAAGTTTAAGGCCGACCTGAACTACATGGTGAGACTCTGTTTAAATGAATGAATAAATGGAAAGCTTTGATAATTAGATTAAAAGGAAAATGGGGCCAAGGAAGAAGTGTGTAGATAAGATTTCTAGGTATTTCTTACTTTTTAGTTACTTTGCATGTTTTTTAGTTTTGAAAGTAGAGATTTGAAGGGTGCATTATAACCTTTAAAATGTCTTGCTCTTGATTTGGTGGTGAATCCACTTGTTTTATGAGGTGACCTCTGAATCCCTCCTCTGTTGTTTGAGGTATAATATGTATAGTGTACCCACTTTAAGCATATAATCTAATGAGTTTGACATTTGTGTAGCCACCATTCCAGTATTTAGAACATTTTCATTACCCTTCAAAATTCACTTTGTAGTTAGTTAAGCTCATCCAGGCCTCCTACTGCTCTGGTTTTTGTCTGTGGATTAGTTTTGCCTGCTCTGTAATTTCCTATTATTAGAATCATAATTATATAATATTACACAGATTTACAATTAGTACATATTGTTTCTTTTATTTTTACTGTGGTTCATTATAACCTTCCTAAATTAGAAGCCAAAATGTACACACTAGCCTCAAAGCATATGACTTCCCCTTTCCTTTTTTTTATTCAGGGTCTCATTAAATTGTCCAGGTTGGCCTTAAACCCACAATCCTTCTCCCTCAATCTTGTAAGTAGCTGGGATTACAGGTGTGCACCACCACATCTGGCTGAAAACACGTGATTTTGTGAATGTCTGCTCCTTTGAAAGTTTAATATATTAGTTGTGCAGATTGTCCACATTTATACCTGCCTGGCACTGTGTCCTAACATGTTTTGTCACATAGTATTTTTTTCTTGATACAAGTTTGGTGGAGATTTCTTTGGTATCTTTAATATCCTAGCTTCAGTATGGGTTTTAAGTAGTTTAGTCATTCAAGATAAAGCTTAGATTTACGAGTGTTAGCCAGTGCTTTAAGGACAAAATATAAGAGGAATGGAAGACTTAAAATATGTATACTGACTTTTGAACTTAAGTTCCAGAGTTGAACTTTCTTTCTTTTTTTCTCAGAGTCTCCACAGCCTATTGGCTTAGTTGGGCATGATGCTGACTTGAGACGGCCGCAGCAGGATACCTGTAACTCTGGTGGTGGTGATATTCATAAGCTGTTTAATTGGCTGTCAGAAACACTAGCAAATGCACGCCATTCTGATGCATCCCTGACAGACACAGTCAACAAAGCCTTAGGATTGAACACTGACGATTCCTACGAAGAGCTAAGGCAGAAACATGAGTATAAGTTGAACTCTGTCTCAGATAAGAAAGAATATGAGCAGCCTACTGGTATGAAAATTGAAAATTTACATTTTAAGGGCATGCAGAGCCCTTTGTTGGAAGTGAATACTTCATCTTTAAAGTATCCAGTTGCTGTATCCACCAGTGAAGTAGGCATTGACCATAAGCTGCATTTGAAAGAAGTAAGCATACATGTATCTTTTGGTTATCTTTGTTTGCTTTTCAGTATGTGTCAGAGAGGAAATGAGTATGCTTTCAGAGGGTGGTTTTGCCTTTCAAGAACTAAAATACACTTCTGAGTAAAGATGTCTGCCCAGGACGGTGCTTCTAAGCTTTCTTTGTTACAAAGATGTAAATGCCAAAGTAGTTGTTTTCCTTCCTGATTGTAGGGTTTATATAGAGTCTAAAGTTTACTCATTATGATAAAACTAAAGCTGGACAATATCAGAAATGGTATATTGTAAGTTAATTCCATATTGCATAATAAAATTGAGTTCTCAGTTTTGGCTACTTTCTGGTGTAAGTTAACAGAACGTAAAGACAAGGCCACATGACTCAACTTGCTGTTGTAAGGTAACAAATAGGGTATGTACTTTATTTCTCAGGAAAGTAGGAATATGAAATGAGCTATTGAATTACTTCTGAAGTAACTCTCAGCCTTGCTTATTAAGGCATCCAGTTTATTTATGGTATTGCTTAGGGGATTGATTTATAGCTGAGAAGTAGCTTTAATTTCCTTCAAGAGAACACCACCTTCAATAAAACATTGAGAACACCACTGGGTGGACCCTGTGGGCCTATTACTAATGGATGCTCCTCTGCTTTTGTCATCTCTGTGTGCCCTCAGCCTTTCTCCATGTTCTTTTGGGATACTTAGTGGAGAGATGATAGGAGGCTTGAATAAGATGTATGTAAGGTAGGCATTGAGATACTAAACAGTGTTGTTAGTGCTTCACAGTATATGTAATACTCAGGTTGATGGCTGTGGGCCAAAGAACCCACTTCTTGATTGTAATTAAAGTTTTATGCCCATTTTTTTGGTTTTTTTTTTTTTTTTTTTTTTTTTTTTTTTTTTTTTTTTTTTTTTTTTTTTTTTTTTTTTTTTTTTTTTTTTTTTTGGTACCGGGGATTGAACTTGGGTCCTTGCGCTTGCAAGGCAGGTTACCGAACCGCTGGCGCTAAATCGCTGGCCCTCATTTAGGTGTTATGTGTCTATGTCTGTGGCTGCTTTTATACTATAGTGGCAGAGTTGAGTGTAAGATCTGCAAAGCCTAAAATACTTAATGTCTGGTACTTTACCATAAGTTTTGGAGTCACTGCTATAAAGAAACATCAAATGAATATAAATAAACATAAATATGTGTGTATATGCATACACACACACACACACACACACAATGTATTTTTTTCTTTTTTGGTACTGAACTCAGGACCTTGTGCTTGCCAGGCAGGTGGGGTGCCACTGAGCTAAATCCCCAGCCCTCACCTTATATTTTGAGAGGAAAAATTATTTTCATTTAGAGATACGGTATTATCACTTTACCATATTGATATTACTTATTTGTGGTATTTAAATTGAAACTTAGAAATGACTCTGAAAAAATATTCTTGACATTAAAATTTACTAAAAAGACAATATGTACTTTAATTTTTAGGATCTAAATTTAATTAACGTCAATAATTTTGAAGATTGCAGTTTGTGTCCCACTGTTCCCATTGAACATGGATTCCATAGACAACAGTCTAAGTCAAATAATGTTGAAGAGACTGAAATACATTGGAAATTGATTCCAATTACAGGTAAGAATAAATGTATGAGGTTTTAGGTTGTTTCCTTTTACTTACGGATCAGTTTCCTGAAGGGTTTCATCTTCCAGATTCTCCTTTCGGGAAGGTTCTTCCCATTGGGCTGTGGTACAGGTGAATCTAATTACTTTCATGTTTTTTTTTTTTACTAATAAAGTTAATAAAAAGCTGCTCAGGGGGACAGCCATGCATATATCACGAGTGGTTCAAACCTCCTACCAGTGAGACATACAAATTACAGCCTTATTGTGAATGTATTAAACTGAATTATCTTAAACCAGATTGGATCATTTTAGATAATGGCCTAAAATGATCAAGTGCATACACATGCTACAGCTTCTTGATCCATGGAGCAAGAATAGTTAGACAAATGTTGAAAGACCATTGTTTTGCAATATTGTAATTTCTCTGTGCAAATCCACATAAATATACTCTTAATTTTCCAAGTTCTTATTCATCTTTGTTGACAGAATATTTTTGAAAATGTATTAGGGGACATCTTGTCCATTCCTAGACATTTATTTAAACTTTAAAGAAATAAACGAAGGTTTTGTTAAAAAATAGGCTGGCTTGTGATCTAGAACCTATGAGACTTCCAAGGATTTTGAGAATTTCTAAAACTTGAATTTCTTTGGACTTTAGTTCTCTACTTAGTGCTTTATGAGAAAGGGCAAGAGGCCCAGAGAGGATGAGAGAGTGGTAACTGGTACTCTCTTTAGCTGGAGACATTGGCTTATGTGAGAGAAGTAGAGAATAGAGAAATAGTTAAAAGATGATTATCCTAATCATTCCACAGTGAAACTCCTTCATACTTGGTGTTGAGAGCTATTTGAAGGCATGGCATTTATGTGTTAATAGTCCCTCATCACCCGAATGGGAAGCAACTTCCCACTTCCAAAAGACCCACTAGGAATATTTTAGATAAAAGAAGAAATGCTCAGATTTGTTAGATTTGGGTTTGTCTGAACATTGCTTATTAGGTGTCATTGCTGTCTGAAGAGTCTACAAATGTATTGCTTTCTTTCAGGAGGGGATGCAAGAAGCCCAGAAGACCAGCTGGGAAAACATAGTGAAAAACAACCACCGGGTGAGGAGGTTTGCTTTGCTTCCCTTCCTGTGTCTTTTTTCAGAATTGTTGCTTGAATTTCTGGCTGCATAAGTTTTATTAGTAGAAAGTTTAGACAATACTGTATTTATATATAAATCATTAACCACTTAGCAGTTTAACCTGAGCATTGCTTGAGCCATGTGTTTGTTTACATACTGACTCTCCTATGTGCTGCTAGGGCAGGTGTCATTTCAACCAGTTGATTCTCTATTGAACAAATTTGTTAAAATTACTGTTTTTATATTACCTGTTGTCTTATAAAAATTAATGAAAAATATGCAGTTTTAGGTCATTCTGCATTTAAATAATTGGACTGATAAGTGGTTACCAGTAATTCTTGTGCTTCACAAGTCTTCATAGCAACTGTATTCCTCTTATTTGGGATACTATATTCGTATTTTGTAACTGAAAGAGTAGGTAATCTGAATGATGTCCTCTTTAGAGAACTCACTACTCCCCTTTCACTTGTAAGTCAAAATATTACAGTGCTTTAATGATATTCATTATGGATATTGACATGTCTGTGTCTTTTAGGTCATTTATTGAAAGTTTTTTAAAGTAATAAAGTTATTCACCATAAAACCAGATAGAGAAATTTGCTTAAAGTAAAATTAAATGGTGTTTACATTTTTGAAAGGGATTTTATTTAGGGTTTTGTCATTTGGAAAATTCTCCATAGGGATTTAAGTTTTAAAAGTTTTAACAAAAATTCTCTTTATTCATAGTCCTTCAGGAAGAAACTAATTGGTCTGATGTTGATCCATTTTAGGAGCAGTATTTAATGTAAAATAATGATTCAAAAGTTTAAAATTATGGGTAGTCTTCAACCCATTTGTTATATAAGACATGGTTCATTTTTTATTTGGCTAAATCAGGTGTTTCAGATGGTATATAATTCAAGAAGAAAGTGTAGTTTCCTCAAATGATTTAAACTTCTATATGTTTACTGAACTCTATTTTAATATTGTAGTTTTAAGGAGGACATTGAATATTCTTGAAAAATCTTATAGAAACTTGAATTTTGTTTTATCAAAAAAAATTTTTTTTTTGGTACTGGATTTTGAACTCTGGATCTTGCACTTGGAAGACAGGCAGCAGAACCACTGAGCTAAATCCCTGGCCCCTGTTTTATCAAATTTATACAGTTGTAATTTTTATCTCTCTGTAGGATGGATACTTTGTTTCCCTTCTCACTTCTAACTGTGGGCCTCTACTGTGCTCTTTACTAGCAAGTGTCTTTACTGGAGTTAATACATTGGAGTGGTTTACAGTAACCACCAGGGTTTGGTAGAGAATGTTGCAAGCCAGGTGTGGGTGCAGTGAAGATCGAAACAATTTTGTGCAGAGAGCATTCCAGTACACCTAAGTGTAAACTTGAATAAGAATCATACCACAGTGATATGCACATCCATGTTTATAGTGGTACAGTTTGTAATAGCTAAAACTTGGAAACAGCCTGGTTGCCCAACAGTTGGAGACTAAATAAAGATGTGGTTTTTCTATAAAATGGAGTACTGCTCGGCCATAAAGAATGAGAAACGAGAGTCATTCATAGGAAAATGGATGCATATTGAGGCTGTACTCTTAAGTGAAAGAAATAGGACACACATGTGTAAATACCAAATAGTTTCAAAGGTGTAGGGGAAATGGGAAGGGTATGGGAAAGGAAATAAGGTGAAAAAATATGAGAAAAGGAAAAAATGGTAGCACAGTCTTTGTAAATAGGTGAGGGTTGAGAGGGGGAAGGGAGGGCAGGGGTATAGGGGAAAAATGAGAAACAAGATCTGTCATGTAAAGGTACAAGATCCCATTGGTGAATGTAACTGTACTGTATACTTAAAAAGTACAATAAACAAACAAAAAAAAAAAACTTGAATAAGGAAACTGCCATATTTCTGAAGTACTGTGTGTTTGGAACCCTTTAGTGAGACTTTCTGATTTAGAAGCATCATTTCCTGTATTACAGCAGCAATTAGCTAGGATTTTAGGAAAATGAGTAACTTTTGAAAAGATAAATTTGTGTGATATGTTCTTCTAGGCAAAGATTATCAGTTGTTTTCTTTTCCTAAAATACATTATTGTAAAATAAAGTTAGATATATTTTCTTATTTCTTTTTCTTTTTTGGTACCAGGGATCGAACTCAAGACCTTGCACTTTTGAGGCAGGCAGTGGAACCACTGAAGTAAATTCCTGGCCCTATTTTCTCTTTCTTAAAACAGATTTAAGGGCTGGGGATTTACCTCAGTGGTTCTGCCGCCTGCCTTGCAAGTGCAAGGTCCCAAGTTCAATCCCCATTATGTGCTCCCCCCAATGGATTTAGGATACTTGTTTTGAAAACATGTCATGTTTGAATTTAAGATTTGTGGGACAAAATATGATTTTTGTAGATTGAGCTGGTTGTGGAGTCAAAAGTCTCATTTTCATCAGCTAGCTGAAAGCTTTTTGTTCTGAGCAGATAAATGAGTTAGTAGATGTCCTGATTTCTCTTGGAATTGTTTTCCCAACAAAATGAAATACCTATGAATGTACTGTTAAAAGTGTTATTTTTTAATATGGCTATCAAATATATTCTCTTCCTGTCTTGTTGAACTTTTTTTCTGATACTGTGAACTAACATTTTCCAAACATTGCAGGAAATCCACAGGCAACCCCACAAGTGAGAGAAATTCTGAAAACAGTTTATCCTAAATCCTATATGCTTGGCAGTTATTCCACAGCATTTCTCTTTGGCACTTTTTCACTTCCCTTGTACCGAATTCTCTAGGGAGTGTTAGCTACCATACTTGACATTACCAACAAAGACTATAGTAGTTGAATAAGCTGATGTTAACTGACTACCTTGGTTAAAACGTGTCATCTAAAGTCAGATCTACAGAATGGTAAGGAACCAGAAAGAAGCAGTGACTTGTGTTGATATAAATATGCGCCACTGAACACTTTCAAAAGAAAACAAATTAATATTCATTGTTGTTACTCTGCCTACTGAAATCCAAAGACTAACCTAAGTAAGGCCTTTAAGAAAAAGGATTCACAAACAATAGTTGCAGTTTCTGTTTTACTTTTGGATGCCTAATTTAGTTCTTAATATATACTTCACCTTTGTGTGTGGTTGTATGTGTGTGATTTAAAAGTTTATTTTCAAATGCTGATTTCTGGATTGCTCTTATAATAATAACTCTTCCTGTATAGGTATGAAATCACCAGATGAACAACTGGTGTGTCTGCCACCACAGGAGGCCTTTCCTAACGACCCCCGGGTAATAAGTAGACAGAGAAGTTCTGATTACCAGTTTCCATCCTCTCCATTTACAGACACACTAAAGGGCACCACTGAGGATGACGTACTGACAGATCAAATGGTGACAGTGGAAGAGCAGTGTGTGCCAGCAGCAGAGCCATCGGCAGTGAGTGAAACTACAGAGAGAACAGTGTTAGGAGAGTACAGTCTCTTTTCTAGGAAGATAGAAGAGATTTTGAAGCAAAACAATGTTTTATATATCAGTAAAATTTCTACACCTATGTTTTCAACACAAGAGAAGATAAAACGACTGTCTGAGTTCATATATTCTAAAACTTCCAAAGCTGGTATACAGGAATTTGTAGATGGTTTGCATGAAAAGCTAAATACTATTATTATTAAAGCATCAGTCAAGGGTGAGAATTTGCCACCAGTTAATTCTGATGATTCTGGTACTACAATAGCATTGACTTCTCTTGGAAGGCATGTTGTATCAGTTTCTTCAAGTGACCTCAACAAGAAACACCTCCTTGAGCCGGTTTGTAGTGATGCTTTGAACAATGCCAACTCTCACGAAGAGCATTCTTCTTCAACCTTGGGTTTAACTGAAGGAGAAGTGAACCAGCCATACCATGCTACTGAGTTAGTGGTGACTTCTGATCATACTGTACCTGGTGATTCTGCCCAGGAACTAGTAGAAAAAGAAACAAAATCGACCAGTGATGTAAACATTTCTGCCCAACCTGCTCTTTCAAATTTCATAAGCCAGTTAGAACCTGAAGTATTTAATAGTTTGGTTAAAATCATGAAAGATGTCCAGAAAAATACTGTGAAATTTTATATTCATGAAGAAGAAGAGAGTATGCTCTGTAAAGAAATAAAGGTAACTAAGCAAGAATGTAATAGTAATGCTGTATAAACTTGTATTGTTGGTCTGACCTCTTTAAAATGAAGTTTTTTTTAAGTTCACTATATTTTCATAGTTTACTAATTAAAATAGCAAGTTGAATTCAGAATTTGTGATCTAAATATCTCAGAATTTAGAGACTAATGTGTAATTTTTAAGAGCATGTATATGGGTGTGTGTGTGTGTGTGTGTGTGTGTATGCATGCATGCATGCAAGGGGCAGGGGATGTAGCTCAGTGATAACAGTGCTTTCCCAGCATGTATAAGACCATTTAGCACTGCAAAAGAAGAGAAATCAGTCTCTATAATACTTCAGATATCCTTAAAGTGTAGAGATTTTAAATGTTGCTTACTTGGGTTTTTAATGAAGGGGAACAAAAGATAAGAAAAGGTAAAGTAAGTTGCCAGTGTTGATTGTATATGGAATTTTGTGAGTCAAATAAAACTGTCCAGGGATAGCCTAATGATACATTCTTTTGGTGTTTCTTAATAACCTTTCATGATTCCTTATGGCTTTTATTGATTAAAAAAACAACTCAGTGATCCTGAAAAACTCTCCAATCATGTAAGATTCCTCACTGTGTTTTTTTCTGTCAAAGAGTAGTTAAGAGTAGACTTAACATTTTAAGTGTTCATTCTGAACACATCCCATTGTGTACTGACATAGATATGTAAAATTTACTAACATAATTTACATGTAAGTTTTAACATATTGGCATAATTATATCAGTGGTTTAGTAGTATTAATTAGTGCTCGCCAAATACAAGATTTTACTTCCTTAAGGGAATGCCTAGGGTTTTGAATTACTTGTTCCTATTTATGGAATTTACTCACCATGACTAGAGTGTCTTCCTGTTTTGTTAGAGGAAACAGAGGAACTATAAATTAGTAACATATAAACCCAGAGTGGCTCAGAAACTCAGTACTACTGGCAGGTGACTAACCCTTTTCTCTCTGGAGATCTGATGTCTACATGTGTCATGAGTTGGGTACCTAACAAGTACCTGAAAAGCTTCGAATGAAATAGGATTCAGAGTCAGTTGTGCTTCCTTACTGAGTCTTAGTGTTTTCTGGGAAGAGGAAATCAGACTTGGTTGCATTTTTGCCCTGTATGAGGGAATGCAGAGCTTCTGAACAAAAATATTTCCCATCCGCAGCAACATGTTTCTAAGCACAGAACTCTTTGGGGGAATAGCACCACATTACCATAGGGCCGGGTGAGAAAGGTTGGGCAGTGTTCTCGTGTGCTTAACATTAACTCCACCTCCCTCCATGTTTTAAAAATGTATTATAATATCTGTGTGACATTTAGATTGAAGGGACTAGGAAATACATTTCCTTATGGTGCTTGGAATTCATTCTAGTGTAGAAATAATTTGTTCCATTATTTACTTAATAAAGAATAATGACTTCTTTATGTTAGAAATCAGACTGGAACTTTCATTCACACTGTAACAAAATATTTTGACTACAGAAGTTATTATGAAGTTTAGATTTTAATAGTCTTAACATTTTTGCTGGAAAATTTCCAGTGGGTACTGATTAGAAGAATTATAGTCTTACCTAAGATAAATTGCACTTGAAGCTTCTTAATGTAAAAAAGACCAGAATCACAAATAGGGGCTGTCAGACAGTAATTTACCCTTTCATTAACTAAGCTAGTTTGAGATGTCCAGAAGCCTCAGAGATTAGAGTAAAATTGTGGAATATGCTGCTTTAACTTAGGGATTTATATACAGAAATGTCCTCTTTGGGTGTAACACTTTAGGCTGCTCTTGAAAAAAAAAAAGCTTGGCAAGCAAGCTGGGCTTTCATTATGGCTATCTGACCAGTAGTGCTGACCTTTAGAAAATTAATCTCCTATATCTGTGAAATGAGGAAGGTGACCTCCAGGATCCTGCACTTTGCTTCAGGGTTCAGCATTCTACCAGCAAGCAAAGAGCAAAGGAACTCTCCATAGACTTACTACCTGTGTCTTGTGAAGGGTAGTACCATGTCACTAGCATGGAGGGAGGTGTTAGATGGGACAGTCTGCTTTGCTTGAAGATGTAAACTTGACAGAAATAGCTGATTAGTGTGTGAATACCTTTGTACACACTGAGGCTCTATATGAACACTTCTGAACTGTTGTGAATTAAATGATCTTCAGTGGTCAAAAGTTTTTTGTGACTCTGAAGAGGAATATTCCATTAATGCTGCACATAACTAAAAGGTCTGCTTAAGGAAAGAAGAGAGTGAAAGGGTAGTTAAATGATTGGGCTCTGGGTTTCCCATAATAATTAAAAACTGGCTCAAGAATTTGGGCTAATCCGTTGTTCTTACAGTTTTGTCACCTCACACTGGCATTTACTTGGCTTTGATTGCATAACACTCTAGCATTATTGAAGTGATTTGTGAAGCTCTGACCTTTTTATTACTCTTCTGTAAGAGTGGTGGAGCACTGAGGTCTCCTATTTGCATAGTTAAGTTTCCTAGTAGTAATTAAGTTTATTACTTTATGTTGCATTTCTAGTGTTAAATTGATACTTGCAAAAAAGCCTTTTAATACTGATTTAGTTGTTTTTCTTTAATAGGAATATCTTATCAAATTAGGCAATACAGAATGTCACCCGGAACAATTTTTGGAAAGAAGATCAAAATTAGATAAACTGTTGATTATTATTCAAAATGAAGACATTGCAGGTTTCATTCACAAGGTAGAACGTTGTCCAATTCACTACTTATTTTGATTTTTAAAACATTTTAAACTATGATGCTAAGGTTTTAAAAATAAGCTTTAAAGATAAAATTGTGTCCTTAAGGTACTTTGTACATCATAGGTTCTCTAGTACATAAATGTTGGTTGGTTCATGTATTGGGAAATAATATAGGGAGTATTTTTAGAGGTTGCTTCTGTAAGTTTCAGTTCATTTCCTTATCCCTCTTTTATTTGTTTTATTGGCTCTTATAGGTACCTGGCTTGGTGACTTTAAAGACTCTCCCCTGTGTTAGTTTTGCTGGTGTCGATAGTCTGGATGATGTTAAAAATCATACATACAATGAGTTATTTGTATCTGGAGGCTTTATTGTGTCTGATGAGTCCATTCTGAATCCAGAGATTGTCACAATTGGTAAGATTATTCTTTTGAGCATATGACTCCTCCCTACCCCTCATTGTTAGAAAACTAAAACTAGCCAACTGGTACTTTTTAGTGTATTACCTATTGATTCTACCAGTCACATTTACATCTTCTCCTGAGCTGTTAGTATTGTTGCCATTAGTATTTTTTTTTTAATGTTTACATACTACATTGTTAGAGCTCTGTTTCCTTATAGAAGGTAAAAGAGAATTAAAATAGTACATAGGAAAGTAGGAGTTTCATAATTTAGCTTTGGCATGGTTGTTACTTATTGAACTTCTTATCTCTAACAGAGAGCCTTAAAAGTTTTTTGGCATTCCTTGAAGAACTTAATACTCCAGAAGGAAAATGGCAGTGGAAAGTGCACTGTAAATTTCAGAAAAGGCTAAAGGAACGGGGCAGGTAAGATTTGGAAAATAACTATAATGGTTTGTTGATTTTTAACAGTGTTCACAAAAAATTTTTTTTCTCTTAGCCATGCTTGTAGATGATGGACACTGCTGTTTTTACAGATGACCATAGCAAGTCATAACAGTATACATACTGAGTTATTATAGTTTTTAGGATGATGTGATAAGCAGATGTTTGGTGAAGTTCTGTGTTATGTGTATAGGTAAAAATTTGTTTAATCTGTTGTTTGTGAGTAGACTAACCAGAATTTCCTTGCTTGCTTACTTGGGAATTTATAGAACTACATACTGAGCCCTTTTTATTTTTTGAGACAGGGTCTTGCTAAGTTGCTAAATTGCTCAATTGCTCAGGCTGCCTCAATCCTGCAGTTATCCTGCTCCAGCCTTCCAGAGTGTTGGGATTATGTGCATATGCCACCATGCTTTTTTTTGTTGTTTTTTTTTAACACCTGTATGACAACTAGATCAAACCCTCTCTCAGTAACTACCTTAGGGTAGCTAAGTCACATGTATTTGCACAAGGATTAGTCTCAACCTTAATGAGCAGATTAGTGATTAGGACATTCATTTATTGTGTTATTTCTAACATGCTTGATGTTAGTTTCTCAGAGAACTAGTCACTTGAGAGGCTCCATGAACAGTCATAGTGATCTGATGAGTCTGAGATAATAGCCTAGTAGCAACTCTATAAAAGGTAATTTACACATTAAAGGATTTCAGAAACTAGTTGAGAATTGTTTTATATTGTATCAGTCAGCATTTCCTAAACTTAGACCACAGAACATTTATTTCTTATAATACCTATTAAAATTTCATGGTACTTTCCAGGAAATTCAGGTTTAAATAATTTCAAAGTGTTTAGGTGTTTGTAGCAATACCTTTTTTTTTCTTTGTTGGTGATACTGGTAATCAAACCTAGGGTGCTCCATCCCTGAGCTACTCCCCATCTCTTTTTTTTTTTTTTGAGGTCTTGGTAAATTGCCCAGTCTGGCCTCAAAACTCATGATCCTCCTGCCTTAGTCTCCCAGGTAACTGGTATTATGGCATGAGTAACCCCAGCAGCAATTTACTTTTTGAAACTTAGTCGTAATTTCTATCACTCATTGCCATGTGTTAGAGAAATAGCTAAGTTGTGTATTGTATGTTACTTTGTCCTTCATTAAATTTCAAAATTAATGAAACTAAAAGCAACCATATTAGTAAAAGCAACCATATTAGTAAGTAGAATGATTGGTTAAGATTCTAGCATAAACTATTCACGTTCAAGCTATGACATCTGTCTCCCTTCATCCCTCTAAAGGGCTGCATAATTCGTACTTTTTCTCTATACTGTGAAGCATCCCTGTGTCAGGCAGTGAACTTAGCAGTGCTGTAGTCATTAATCACCTCAATGAGAATTAGTGGTTTTAATCTAAAGCAAAAATTTTCATACTAACTTTTAGTGCAGATATACTGAACTCTGCCTGATTTCAGATTGAATGCTAAAGCTCTAAGTCTGTTGACACTTCTGAATGTCTACCAGAAGAAACATCTGGTTGAAATTTTATCATACCACGGTTGTGATTCACAAACTCGAAATGCTCCAGAACTGGATTGCCTTATCAGACTTCAGGCTCAGAACATACAGCAGCGACACATAGTCTTTTTAACAGGTAAAGAGACAACACTCTTCAGCTTTCTAATGTGAACATAGAAATATGAGAGGATTTCATGGGGCTGATTCTGAACATGAGTAGAAAAGGATTTTGTTGAGGCTAGAGGTCAGGCATTATTTGTCCATGTCTCTTTTCAAGTGCTTTATCATGAACCTATTTTTTTAATTTAGAGAAGAATATCAAGATGCTTTCCAATTACACAGATAATGGAATAGTAGTTGCAACTGCTGAAGACTTTATGCAAAACTTTAAAAATCTTGTGGGCTATCACAACTCCATCACAGAAGAAAACCTTCCATTCCTCGGTGCTAATGAGAATCTTGAGTCACAGTCAGGTAACTTTTCAGTGGTTTTTTTTTGTTTTTTTTTTTTCCATTTAAGACAGAAAAAGAGGAATTTTTTGTCCATTATCAAATAATGAAGTGCCTGTTTTGAAGTTGCTCACCTCAGAATAAAGTGCCTTAGGTTTAATTCAAGGCATATATCATTCTGAAATTTAAAATGCCCTAGATATGTTCATCTATCATTGTAGTCATGTAAGTTTTTAGCTACTATAGACTGCTGTATGCATTTGTTTATACTGTAGACTGTAAGACCATGGATTATGCATTTTCTGAGTGTATGTAAGCTTTACTATTGTCCAGCAAAGGGGTTTTATTAAGAAAATAGGAAATAGTTGTTGGGATTCAGCCTTGGGCCACTAAATCTCAGATTTTTTTTTCTTTCCTCATTGAGTTTATTGGTACATTAGGTATACAGTACAGTTACATTCATTATTGGGATCTTGTACCTTTACATAACAGGTTAAATCTCAAATTTATAAAGCAATTTAATTATAATATAGTAGGACTGTCATAACCTCAGTGTTTTGTGAGATAGCCTCTGCTTGGTTCCAAATCTATGTAAAGTCAAAGATGTACTTACTACTGTTTTTGGTGAAAAGCAGAGATGATCAAACATTAGCTGCAGCTAACCCATTTAGTAATCCACTGAAGCTAGATGTCAGAAATTTTATTTTATATTTGTCTTGTCAAATACTGAATTACCGTATAACTTTAGATGCTGTTTTGACATTAACCCCTTTGGAGCTGGGAGTTGGGATTTCCCAACATTAAACGTGAACACATTTCGCAGAAGCTTTTAGCATCGGATTATCTGGACATTCACACCTAGTGTGAGTGTTGTGACTAAGTGAACTTGTGGCAGAAGACCAAGCTTTAAGGGATTGTGGACTTGCTGACCCTGACGCGTTATATTGTGTGAGTAATGTATAATTTTAAAAGTTAAACAGTGTATTTCAATAGAGGAGGACTTTTTGTTTTTTAAATGTAGCTCTTTTAGAAAACGGTGAAAAGGATGAAGAGGATATGTCTCTGGATTCAGGGGATGAGATCTCACATATAGAAGTATGCAGCAATTCTCATTTCGAAATATTGGCGAAAGAAATCAAAGGATCAAGTGGAAGAAATCAAAAAAATACTGAAATTGGGTTGCAATCATCTCTTGACGTGCAAAAAAGTTTATTAGAAGATAAGACTTCCCAAATTGATTTTGAAGACAGCACTTCTGTTGATATAGTATGTCCTGAAGGAGAGAACAGCAATTCAGCAGAACGAGATTTGTATAGCTTCTTTCAGGTTTCTCAGAGTCCATTAAATATGTCCCATCGGTTTAGTCATTTTAACGTTCTCACTCATCAGACATTTCTGGGGACATCATATCCCCTTTCAGCAAGTCAGACTCAAGAAAATGAGAATTAATTTTTATCTGCTAATACTCAGTGTACATCTCAGTCTCCATTAAAGTGGAGAATAAAATGATTCTTCCAGGCCATACTGAAAAAAGATATAGTAACTTTGATTGTTGTGGACCTGTTAACAGTGAATTAACAATTTATATTCTTTAAACACAAGGTTTCTTATCCTTTCTGAAATGCTTCTCTTATTTAGATCATGATGGCCTGTAACAGTTAAAACACCTGAAAACTGAAATAAATATATATATATTTCTGACATATATTGTACTTGAATTATCTCATGTTGGCACTTTTTAAGTTCTACATTTGTCTGTTACTTGTATTCGAGCTTCAAATTGAAGCCTGTTTTATATGTAAAATTAGATGTTTATAGAAAGATGGTAAAAAGCAATGGTTTTACTTTTCCCCCTGTAATGTTGGATAATACAGACTATTTTGATTTAAGCTTTTGTATAATGTTTTACACAGGTATAAGCCAGCAATGTTAATATTTATAGGAGTTTGGCTCTTTACCTCAAGGTGTTTCTAACAATACCATTTCATTTAGGTAAAAACTTGTGTACATAGGACTTAATAGCAAGCAGCATTATTTTTTAATCTTATAGGCTTAGACTGTAAAAATTCTCCTTATTTCAGTTTTGATCAACTTTTTCAAAACATGGGGCTTTTGTTGTTATGAAAGGCATTAAACAATTTGGAACTTGTAGTCTTAGATGTATATTTTTTATTTTTGAGTGGTCTTGTTTACCATTTATTCAGCACTTTAGTGCTATAAGTAAATTCACACATAAAATGTAAAGTGGAGATAATTTCAAACCCTTAGTTTTACTAAAGTTAACTTTTATGCTTTTGAAGTTGCACTTTCTACGGTAAAAGTAATAACAACAGATTTTAGAGAAATGAAATACTCATACAGGAGCCTGAATTGAATTTGATTACTTTTTATAAGAGCCTAGATGTGGCACTGCAAAACAACTTTTTATAAAACAAAATGTATGGTTCGTGTTAATCATCTACATAAAAGGTATGGAAGAACAATGTTAACAAAGAAATTCAGGCTTTATTAAGGTAAGTAGAATTTTTTTTTAATAGGACTTTAAACACCCAGACTGACAGCAGAAAAAATTTTTTACTACTAGGTTATTTTTTTTTTAAACATTCTATTAAGAAAAATGCATTTTACTATAATGTACAAGTTTTTAATGAGCATTTGAAAAATAAATCTAGGCTATTTGAACAGTGAGCACATTTTATCATTTGAAAGACAAAAATCACTTTCTAAATTTTACATGAAGAATTAAAATTCTTTTCTTGATTTGCAGCTAAAGGCATGAGATTAGTTTCCAACTCCTTTTGCTTCTGGAGAAGGCCCTGAAATCACATTGATATATTAGTAAAAAATATATTGTAGCCAAGTTGGAAATTATTCCTTATATTCTTGTCCTGTTAGTATTTAGCTCAGGATAGAACTGCTAATTAGTTGGCCATAGGCGAAGCCTTGTCTGGAATTTTTTAGTGATTTTTGTACAGACCTAATCTGGATGTTATCTATATAATTATTATCTGTAGGATTGTTTTTAGCATAGCCAGCAGGGATGACTTTTCTTTAAAAACCTCCATAATTATGAGGCTTCAAGATGAAATTCTCTCCACTCCCAAGTGCTCTTAAAATGGGGATGAGACACTGAAGTCTTAAAATTTTGTTTGTTATGGTGGCACTAATCTTAATGGCTAATGTAAAAGCTCTGCTGAAATAACACGAGACTATACTGGTTTGGTGAATGCGCATCATATTCCTTTCTCTTGCTTTTGGAACTCTTTTGTGAGTTACCAACACTGAATTAAATAAATCCCGTGTTATCTAACCAGAGCTGGCACACAAGCTCATGTTAATGGGCCAGAGTAAGGCAGGTTTTTAGCTCTATAAAAGGAAAGCAACACCTGAACCATCTTTTTGGCATTGGTAAACAACTGGACATGAAAAAGAACACTTCTAAATTTTTTCTAAATACTAAGTACACATGAATCAAAAGCTCAGGGATAGGTTTCAATGGATTTGGGCAAGTTATAATGATCTAATAAGAACAAGGTTATGTGACCACAAAAACTGGCCAGAGAAAGTCTAGTAAGGTTATGCCTATAGTTTCATAATGAGTTATAATTATTTTTTTGGACAGACATTGTTCTGTTCTAAACTGCCAACACATACATTTTTAAGAATCACAGGCCACAGTGGTTAAGAACTGTGTTTTTAATCTTAGATTTTAGGGCAATACTGGGCATTACTGATCATGTTTTGCCATTTAAATGTATGCATTTTTATTCAATAAAATTGTCTTAATATTTAAAACTGTCTCATGATTTTATGCTGAAAGACATTTTTAAAGATGATAAGGTGAAAGCAAATTTGAGGAAAGTTCCATTTTATTTCCATTCAACTGATCTGAAATACTTCTTAAAAACTGGGATGTGATTAAGTCACATAAAACGTTCAACCAGTTCCCCTATTCCACACCGAACAGCCAAGTCTAGATTTGATGGAAAGCACATACCTGTCTCAATTCTGATAGTCCCTTAAGGATTGCTTGCTGTCGATGCCTGACAGGGTCAGCGTTGAATAGCTGCTGTTCTTGGTCACAATCTAAAGCAAGATAAAACTAAAAATGTCACATACATTTCTAATAATGATGTAAGGTGTGCCTTGTAAGATACTTTCTAGAACTAAGTGCAGGGGTTACTTACAAATAAAATGAGGGTTGGAGCAGGGGGGTTACACTGATCTTCAATTTTTTCAGAAAGAATACATGGTCTACTTACCACAAGAATTTTGGTACTGAGGGTCCTCAGTTGAAGGCCTAGACAATGGTGCATCTGGATCCAGGTAATAGATCTCATTTGTTCGAACGTAGGGAATAAAATGGGGCAATTCAGGCATCCCAGCTGATAGTTCTGTTTGACTACTGCCTAGCATCCGACACTCTCTTTCATAGCTACTATTTTTTAGTGGTAGATGTAATGCAGTAGTCTGAGTTTGTTGTGTTCTGCTTTTCATTGATGGAACTGGTGATGACTGAAACCTGTTTTTAAAAAAGTATAGTTACAATCTTGAGAAACTTTCAACACATCTCTTCAATCACATTTCAACTTATCTGAAATACCCCTGGTACCATCTTTAGGAACATCATGTGTAATAACCTAAAGCCTCTAACTTCCTACAACAGGGCAACAGAAATAAGATTAATTTGAGAGTTTTGCTAGTGGTCCGCTAAGGATATATATGTATTGTAGTCTAATAGAGAAAAATGGCCAGATCCTAAATATCAGTGCTAGCTGGGTTAGTTTAAGTTTCATGTTTCGCTGTAGAAAATTCACCGCAATTTCCTCACAATCTTAACTAAATTTGCTGTTAGAGTGACTTCTGAGGCAACTCTAAACTACTGGTTTATACATAAAAGACACAATTAAAATTTTAACAGTTCTCAATCTCCCACTGCTTAATGGAATTTCTCATTGTCCTTTATCATTCATCGCCCACCACACCAACAACCCAAGTAGAATGCCTACTCCACTGCAGATGCACCTGGAAAATCAACAGTTGAATCTAATAGAAATTCCTACTGAGGCCGAGTCTAGCTAAAATTAAACATCCCTTAAACATTTGCCCCTCACCAAGCTGCCACACCCTTTCATACTACTGTCTTCGTCCACTATGTTCCTAATCTTACATGTTTGAACAAATGTTTTGCACCTCTTACTCCATAAAGAATGTACTAAGTAACTATAGAAATAATCCACATACCTTTCCTTGCTGAATGAATGAGTTTTCAGAGATGGTTCTTCCTAAAAGGTAGACACAAAAACAGGAGTATTTAGCATTTGCCCATGTCCTCCGGTACTTTTAATGGTTACTTGAAACAATCTGAGGACAACGTTGAATAACATACTAGATAATGGAATAGAGTTAGTATTTTTCCAGTCAGACCATAATTCCCAATCTCCAATTGGCCATTGTCTATAAACAAGGGTTTTGAATGGCTATTTAGAGAAGTGCAAACTTTTCCTGTAAAGGGCCACAGAGGACACAGTCTCAGCTTTTTGGGCCATGTGGTCTCTGCTGTACCTACTTGTCTGTGGTGATACGATAAAGAGCCAGTCACCGTAACTCAAATGATTAGGTACAGCATATACAGAAATGGGCTGCAAAGTGGATCTGCCCACAGGCTTTGGTTTGCTGTTAACTCTTATTTAGATTAAGAGGGGCCTTGTCAAAACATGGATATGGGGAACTTTGGCTTAAATTTAGAAATGTCAGTACATACTTGAAAAGAAGAGCTTTTACCTTTTTTAATAGCTGCCACCTGATCTTTGACTCATTTTCTTGATGGGATGACTGAAGAACTTCTGGTGAAGTGCTTCTATTTTGATAGACGTGTTCAGGATTATTTCTTTCTACCAAATGAAGCACTTCCACCTGCCTTCTTAAGTTTATTTCTTCTCTCTGCTTTTGAAGTTGTTTGGGGTACTTTTCTGATGCTGGAACATACCTTTTGAGAGGCTTGTTTATATTCCAATCAGGCCTTTCTGGACATTTCTTTGTATGTTTTATTTGTTTTTTCTCAGTTATGAAGTGACTGCACTGGTCATACCAACTGTTAGCTTTTTCTAAATTGATTCCTTTATCCTCACTAAGTTCTTGCTTGTCGTTGTTAAACTGACCGTTAAATTCTGCAGAAATCTCAGGAGATGAACAATATATAACTTCTGTCTTTATTGTTGATCCACAGTGTGGTTCTCCATGGGTGAATATTCCTGTATTTAAGTCATCTAAAAAAAGTTTCAAATGATCATTTTTTTAAAAAAGTGTGGTATATATAACAATTTTAATCATTTGTAAATTAAAGACGTTAAATGTCACCCTCTAAGACTTTAGAAATCAAACTATATACCTATTTAACAGCTGACTCCCCATTCTCTCCCCTTTCTCCTGAAAATCACCATTTTATTTTGTTTTTATAAATTGAATAACTGTAGAAACCTCAGATAATTAGGGTTCTGTTTGCTTTGTGACTTTCTTACTCGCTTAGCATAGAGTACTCAAAGTTCATCCATGTTGTAGAATGTAAGAGAACTTTGTAATGCTGAATGATACTTCATTGTATAGTAAATACCGCAACTTTTTCATTCATTTGTACAGACAGGTTGCTTCCTTCCACCTTTGAGTTTCTGTAAATGTTGCTGCTATAACAGGTGTCCAAGTAGATCTTTGAGACCTTACTTTTAGTTCTCCAGGGTATATACCGGAAGTGAAATTGCTAGATGATGATAGTAATTCCATTTAAAATTTTTTGAATAAAGGCCATACACTGTTTTCTATAGCAGCTGTACCATTTTACATTTCAACCAGTAGTAGTATACAAAGGTTGCAATTTCTGCAAAACTTCCATTTTAATCATTTCGAAGCATGTATTTCAGTAGCACTGAGCAAATCCACAATGCCATACATGGACCATCACCATGCACTTCACATAATGTGGGTAATCTGGTGTTTTATTTAACATAAAGCCCAAGCTGGGCGTGGTGGCATGCCTGTAAT